ATACCTGGAGTTGTGTTTTGTTTCAGCCACATTCATCACATGTTTAAGTAAGCTTTTATATTAGCCTGTCTACAACTCCAAAGCACAAAATGGTCAGGTCCACCTTGTGATGTCATGAAGAGTTAGTTTTTATGTTAACAGCTACCTTTTACCTTTTGTTAAATAGAGATTGGCAATTCCACGGCTGAAATGATCCAAATGATTTTAGTGAAGGTGTATGTAGTTTAAAAACACAGTAGAGCACTTCCTGTATTACCACATGACATCACAAGGTGCAAGAGTGTTTTTCGTTTGAGAGAAGAACTCAGCCTAAATGTGCAAGGATTGTGTGTTAAAGATGTGTGAATGAAACAAAACACAACTGAAACAAAACACAACTCCAGGTCTGTTTTTGATGACGAAACAACATTATAACATAGATCAGAAAATAGCTTAATATGGGCCCTTTAACCAATGTTGTCTTTACCTAAACCCTATACATTTACCTGTTTTAATCCACACCTGAACATAAAAAATATGTTGATCTAATAATAAAGTATTTAAGTCATGGGGTCCCCAGAAAGCCTACATGAATTAAGTGTGTGTACAGATTTTAGTCCCCACAATGTAATGAATACCTGCCTTCACACACGTTCAGAGACAGTAACACACATCCTTCCTGTGCTTCCTCCAGGGACAGTTTTCTTTCCGGCTTCAATTACAGTTGCCAAATTCTACAATGTTTTCTAAAGTCAACTATGGCCCCAGTGGTTTGCTTCTGTGCTCTTGGGGAAAGTGTCTGGTGTGAATTCAGATTTGAAATACCAAAAGCTTGTCTAAAACCTTTATACCTTTGACGATTCACACTGGAAGCATCTCTCCTTTATCAACTCCCCAGAAGAAGAGCTCACCTCTACTGGCTTCAACCAGATAACAGAACCATCCAGCTCTGCTCCACCAACACCTCCAGGGCACAATCACCAGCTCTCCACCACTCCATTGGTATCAGGAACTTAACTGTTGAGAAAAGTGTTGGATTGTATGGATTTCAGCTTTCTGTTTATAGGCGACATATTGAGGACATTTGACCATTTTGATTTGAATTGTGAATTGTTATGGTATAATTGCTCATTTTTCATCACCACTGGTCTCAACACCAGTATCACCAATGGGCCCATACGCCAGACATCAGCAAAATATCTAAGATCAGTTTGTTTGGTTGTTTTATGCAGATAATCCTAGTGTACTGTCCCAAATCCATTTCAAAACTAGACTCATGCATGGATGGATCATAAATACATTTTCACTGAACATCTCTATCGACCTCATACTTGGACTGCTGAGCTGAGTGAATTCTGTTGTGGCTGGTGAAAAAGTTCCTCAAGCCTGTGTTTTGGGCAGAAGGTAAGACACAGGTGCAGACATGTACTGCATATGTGAATATGTGAACAGACATTATGCATGCACGTACAAGCACGCTGTCCAAGGATACACGCATGCAGGCAGACCCCCCCCATGTTTGGAAATGTACACTATTATTCATTGTAAAATATTGCATATTCTTACTGTTTATTCTTGAGAATAGTTTAAGTAGAATTCATTAGTCAAGTTGTCACATTAGTTGTTTCATCTAAGCCATCAGTCAATATATTCAGAAAGTTGTCATTTTATAGGAGAAACAGGAATCTCATCTCATGTTTACTGAACAAAAATGTGCCCCAGTCTCATAATTTTATGTGTTCTGTATGTGAAAGAGTTGCATGTAGTTTTAAACATCCATTTTAAAGTGGTCATCTGGTCTTGTACTGCCTACATTTCACACCTGAGTGCAGAATAGGTGACCCAGAACAGTGGAGGCAGAGTTGTGCTGGACCATCCTGTTTCCCAAGCTGTCCTACAGTAGCACACAGCTCGAGCCCTGGCTGCAGCTGCTCTGTCCTGTCCCCGTGCATATGTGAGTGTGTCCCAGGCCCAGGTCTGCCTGACCGCAGCTGTCCCTACCTCCATGTGGGTCTCCTGGGCGCAGCTCACCTCCCTCTCCTGAAGCCTCATCAAAGAGGCCTGGGATAGAGCAGAGGGCGGAGGGCTGCTGCTTCCCTGGGCTTTGGGAGCTGGAGATCTGGAGCTGGAGCAAGGTCATGGGGCTGGGCTGTGCTGCAGACGGTAAAGGAGGTTGAAAACACTGGAGGGTACTGGGGCATGTTATTTCAAACAGAAGTGAGAAGTTTGTCTAATCCTGTTCAGACTTTGTGCCCTGTCTGCAGAGTGTGCGTGCTATTCATTTAGGCTCTGTCCAAACCACAGGAGACAGGCTCCAGGGTGGTACACTAACAGAAGGGCAGGGGCACAGACTCTAGCACACACTCCCAAATGAAAAATGGAAAAAAAATATATATTTACACAGAGGAATTCAGATAACAACAAGTACAGCAGAGCATCTTTTTAATGTATCTAAAAAAGCTGAGGAAAAAATAAAAAAAAACACTTTTTCTAAAACTAAATTTCCTATATTATGCATCACAAGGTGGAAAAAACTGTTTTCTGTTTGAAAGAAGAACTCAAAATATGCAGGATTTGTGTGTTAAATGTGTGAATGAAACAAAACACAACTGCAGTTATGTTTTTGATGAGGAAACAACATTATAACATAGATCTGAAAAAAGAGTAGTATGAGCCCTTTAACAGCACTCAGATATAGAAGATTGACTAAATTAGGTGAGAGATAATTGTTTAATTGAATTGAAGGCATACACAGTTCCACACAGGCTGAAGGTGGACACAGCCTGTGTGGTAGACCTATGTGAAGTTCATGCTCTGATGACCACACAGACCTACAGGACCACACCTCGTGCTCCTCCAGCTCATCTGATGGATTGAACAGACTTGATCTCTCGCTGTGAAATAGTTCATCATTTTGCCTGAAGGAACAAAAGCATCAGTGATGTATAAGAAAACAGTTTGGTCTATCTAGGTCACAGTGGCTTCAGTATAAGTGGTGTAGTGACATAGATCACCTGAAAGAAGATACAACGTACTACTCTTTTTACCATAACATACATAACACAACTTAGAGTAAGCAAATGATGAAGGAACACTGTTATGCTTAAAACCTCTTAAAAGTTTATATTACATAATGTGTCCCTTTTAACCAGGTTCTTTCTTTAGATTTCCCTTTTAGAAGTGTAAAGTGCAGGAACAAATTGAGAAGGTGATGAGGAAACATTGAGGAGAGCAGGGCTCTCCTGTCTCTTTGTACTGTTCATCTACTTCACAGGTGTCAAACATACGGCCCGGGGGCCAGATCCGGCCCTCCAAGACCTTTAATCTGGCCCTCATCTGATTTTCTACTAAAATATTTCAATTATATTTTCTATTAAAATATTGGTAATTTTCTGCGGTGTTTATCATATCAGCATCTCCAGCGCCCCCAGGGGGTGGCCCCTCCCGCCAGAGCAGCACAAATGAGGACTTGTCTCTTTCCAAATGCTCTTAAAGGACGATCGTTTTGACTGTTGACCGTGACTCCCTCGTCCCTCAAAATGTCAAAAATGAGAAAAGTGGAGCCGAGTGCAGGATTTTCCAAAAAAATTGACTTATTCTTATTTGCAAACAAGTTCATGTTAAAATATTGTGTTGAAATTGTATTTTTCTTAAAGTTTCAGGTTGTTCATAATATTATAATATTTTGTAAAAGAAAGAGTTCATCAATTTAGAAAGATTTCTGTAATAGATTTGTGTTTCTCTGCACCAATATTTTAACTTATTGTTATTTCTGGGGTTTATATGACATGAGTTTTCTGATCCGGCCCCTTTGGGATCAAAGTAGGTTGGATACGGCCCCCGGACCAAAATGAGTTTGACACCCCTGATCTACTTTCTACAGCCCCAGTGCCCCACGTGCTCCATCTGGAAGAGAAAAGGTACAGCAATACATGGATGCCACACTGTCACTTAATTAAACCAGGTTGAGCGCTATGACAGGATTATGTGTGAGCAGCTTTTTAAACACACACTTTTAGTAGGTATAGTGTGATGTACAATAAAGTAACAGCTGACCCTTCAGCAGCCAGCTGAGCAATTCAAACAATGCACTGTCCCAGTGGCCTGAGCCAAAAATGGCCACTGAACATTTTGGTTTACACCAGGCTGATCAGCTGTTGAGTAATCATTTCTGTCTTATGTTAAACAGCTGTCTGATCCTTCCGGCTGTCAACAGTAATTAAGATAGTGCCATGCAATAATACCAGAGGCTGTGGGGATAGCTGTAGTTAAACCTGTCGACTCAGCTGCTCTCAAACTCCAAATGTTGTATCGAACAATAGAGGAAGCAAACCAGCAGTGATAAGCTCCTTTACAGCTATGCATACTAAATTGAAATTGCAGCTAAGACCGTGCCTACGAACTCGTGAGACGGTGAATGTTTCTTATGTTTGAAGATTTTTCTCAGTGCTGTTCATCGTTATTATCAACACTGGCCTACTGATTTGTTTTATTAGAAAAGACTATGCTGACTTTATGGTTCCAAGACTGATCAAGCAATTAGACTAATTAAATTAAGGGGAAAAATTAAGCTGAGTTGAACCAAATGCCACATTAAAAGCCTGCTTATTTTTGTTTAAATTTTCTATTTCCAGCCTTTGCTTCTTCATTTATGATGTGAGAGTAGCGTGTTATTACCGCTTTAAAATGAGAAGTACCAGCAAAGGCCGCTGCGTGGATCAGATAGGCTTTCATCTGCATTCTCGCGATGCTTGGGTTATTAGCCGGCAGAGACAAACGGGATGTTGGAATGGGATGATGAGGAGCTCTACTGTGGACAAGAAACGAGAGCTTTGCTGAAATAGAGGCCTGGACGAAGAGGAATACGGTATGTTTGATATCAGTGCGTGCGTGTGTGTGTTAGACGCGGTGATGTTGATGATGATGATGATGGCAGAGCCGAGGGTTGCCGTTTCTGTTGGTGACGTCACGACTTTTTTCTTGAAAGTCAAAACAACCGTGGGCTGCGTCGTCCCGTTTAATCTAACCAAAGACCTGCTGCACATTATTACAATCATCGACCACAAATGCGTGCGTGCCTATTCGTGTTAAATTATTCAGCAGTTCCTCGTTAGCATGTTCCTTTTCAAGGCTGCTACACCGAAAGGAAAGAAATAAAGCTGGCGGTGTATGAAGAGCAGGTGCACGGGAATCCCTCAGCCCCTGGCGCTTACAGGTAACACACGGGGCCATGGCGGCACTGTCAGTCAAAGCGCTCCAAACGCACGGTCCACCGGGGGATATGATCAGGATGTGGGCGGCTCCGTGGTGGACAGATGATGATGAGAGATGCCCGGCGATAAAGTGTTTGTGGGACATGGAGTGTAGCTGTCCGGCTACTGACACATTTGAGGTGTTTTCTTTTATTAATCGGTGTTATGCGTAGTTTTATTAGCCACTTTAAGCGTCCGAGGGTCTGCCACGCTGCGCGCAACATGCGTCAGTTTGACAGCCAGTGACGTAGATGATGCAGTGCTGCTGCTGGCGAATATGGGTCCTGCCCATGCTGGAGATACACGCGAAGAGATGGGTCACGTGATGTGCAGACTGGACACTCTGTATCAGACTGATGGTATTAGTACATGAAACATCACTGACAAATATTTTGTGAAGGGCATTTGATGACTCAGATGTTTAGGGCACCTTTTCCTCTGGTTACCTATGCCACAGCCAATAAATAAAGAGGTTCAAACGCTGTATTAACAATAACACAGTGTATTATGTTAACAGTAACATACATGACAGTTTGTTATGTCAATATTAGGCAATTTCTTTTGTTTTTTATAATTATTTTGCCATAAACTAAGATAGGGTTTTAAAAAATTGTATGACATTGAAGCAATGTAATGACATCTGCTTCAAACTCAAAAACTAAATTAAAATAAATTATCTTACATTCTGCTGGTGATATGTTCCACTTCTTAGATTTATTGAGAAGAGTATGGATTCACTATACAGGTGCTATCCTTTGAGCCTCTGCTGAATGCTGGCATGCATTGGGACAGGATTGTACATTGTACAGCTGAGTTTTGTGTCAGGTGTCAGGACGCAGGTGTGACCATGTGGTCCATTGAACGCAGTGTAATGCTGGAGGCTGTTCATCTCAAAAGTGAAGGGAGATTTTCACATCTGTGCTGGCGTCTATAGATTTGTATTATATATAACAAGCTGTGTAACACCAACAGGCAACCTCAAGACACAAACTAAAACTATCCTGAGCCACATGCGTTTAAATAATAGTTTGTGACACTGACATTTCTATAGCAATGTGTTACCAGTGGCAATGGTTTGAGGTCATCATGATGGCACTTAGGCCTGTCACAATAATACTTTTTGATGTGTGATATATTGTTGAACTAAATATAGATGGTAAACAATAAAACTGAAACCAAACCATAAAGCAGACTTATCGCCTAAAAGTATTCTTAATGTAAAATATTGTTAAAAATATGAACCACAATAAATACATAACAGAATGCAACACTTAGTAGTTAGTTTGTGTCTATAATGAGTCATTTATTCAAACCTCTACAACTAAAATCTTATCATAGTACAGAAAAATAATAAAAAATCTCCCTGCAGTGCAAAGAAAAAGTCATTACTGACCCCCCAAAATTATTGTTCCATCTACCATGTATTGAACGATAAGACAATAATTATCCAGATAGGCTTATTGTTACCCACATTGCAGAATGTACCTGCACAGTCAGTGTATTGGATGACAGATACAGAGATGGCTTCATTGTTGGGGCCAGAATGGGCAGATTGTGTGGACAGTCAATCAGAGAAAATAAAAAGTGATATGCCAATGTTACAGATTTACAAAGAACAACATAACTAAAGAAATGCTTTGAACATAATCTTTTAGCCAGGAAGCTCAGCAGTAGTGGCTGACCGTCTGGGCCCTTGTCTAGTCATTTTTTATATACCTAGAACTTGTGTTGCTTGTCAGAAGAGTCCATCTTGGCACAGACTCACTTTTGCACTATACCTCGTCGTCTTGTGTTCCTCTGTCATTTTGTCCTTGTGCTATAATAAATCCTATTTGACTGGTGCTTCCCTGACAGAACGGACAGTGGACATCTCCATAGTAACCGCTGCCCTGGTGATGAAGGGTTGCCTGTGTCTGGACGCTCCTCTCGGCACATCTCATTCGTCTATACTGCAGCTAATAGACACTGACAGTATTTCAGGTTCTGTGGTGGCAGCATGGGGCGATCAGGGGCACGTTAGGCCAGATTAGGGCCCAGCTAAATGAAGCCTCATTGAATTACACTCAAGTATTAAAGTATAATCCATAATTTTGCAGAGCCTATAAAACCTACTAGCTATACATTTAATTACATTTGCAGACCCAGGGTTTGGAAAGTGTTTACCAACCAGCACACACAAGCACTTACCAGGAGGTACTTTTACATCCTTAAGAACTTTTGTAACGATCAGTTTTTCATGAAAAATTCATAAGTTCCATTTACTGTTCTCATGATTTAAAAATTAAGTACATTGTATTTCATCCAATTTTGTTTTTGTGAAAATGTACACAACCGTAATATTATATATTGTGACAGATTTATTTGCCTAGTAGCCAAGTCAGGGACTATTCAGAGTGTGAGACAAAGCTAAGGGGTACAACAACAGTTAGGAGCCACATGGCAGCCGCTTATATATTGTAATATTACAATAATATCTATATTGCAGTACTTAACAGTCATATCATGTATCACAGTCTTTTCCATTATAGTGCAACCCTAACAGCCATGCTTTCAAAATTAAGATCAAATAAAACATTGGATGAAAGGTACTTGTGTATGATGCCGTTGTAATGATGCTGCAGTCCCTCCAAATATGAACAGCGGTGCAGACAGGAGCTGGTCTGAATACTGATTTACTGCGTTAGCTCTGAAACTGTTAGCTTATCTGCTGTAGTGCCACTCTCCATTCAAGCTGAGCGGTGTAGTGCTGCTGCGCATTGTGTAAGCGAGCTTGTAGTAGAGTGCATCTGAGGTGAGCAGGCAGCTATGCAGAAAGGGATGGGAGGGGGAGCGAGACAAGAGAGAGGTGCAGAGATTTGGGCACACAGAAAAAGAGGAGCATCTCTAACTGCCGCCGCTGCTACTATTTATAGCACACAGCCCTGTACTCCCCAGTCCTCCCACTCAGCGGCAGACAGCAGCCCACAAGCTCGCTCACACTAACTAAATCCACCAACACGCAAAATGTAGCAGCTTTGGAAAGGTAGGCTCACTCACTAGTACCGTACTACAGGAGGTGAATGAACGTGCAACATTTGTGTTGCCATCAGGGTCTGTTTTTACTTCACAGAGCGCCTGTAATAATTTGTTACCACAGAAGAGGGAAGTGGGCGCGAGGAGGAAATGCCCTCACATTAACACTTGTTCACAGGGATAGAGGCAGCTCAATGTAAGGTGGTTCTGAAGGAACCATCTGAGAAGGTGAAAAGTTCCCATGAAACATTGTGTCTTTCTGCTTTCACTTCCTTTCAGGCTGAGTCACTGCTGCTGAGGAGGAAGGTCTGGAGAGGGAGCGACAGAGGAGGAGGTGGCGGGGGAGGGGGAGACCAAGAAGGAGGGAGGCTCCGAGATAAGCCACAACAGGAAGCAGCGAACACGCATCAAACACACACACTGAGCCTGTGTGCACGCGCAGGCCAGGGAGCGACTGCGCGAGCTAGTGAACGAGAGGGAAAAGAAGAAGGGAGGGAGAGTGACACGGAGGCTGGGAGAGCCGCCCCCCTCCTCCCCCTCTCTCTCTGTGGAGCAGGCGTGTAGCGGCATCACACTCGGCGTGAAGGAACCATGAGCGATGTCACCATCGTCAGAGAGGGATGGCTCCAGAAACGGGGTGAGTACATGCAGTACCCCTCTGTTTCATGTCCATGCTCTGCTCCGTGTGTGTGTGCGTGTGTGTGTGTGCGTGTCGTCTAGACGAGGCCGAGCCGGTGCACGTGTGCTGTGAGCTGTTCTCATCACATGTCTGATACTGAGTGGAGCAGGAGCAGTCTCCTGCAGCATGTGCAGTATACAGGATAAGCCTGTGTATCTGCAGTGGGCTTGTGCATGATGTTGTGTCTCTGTTCTAACATGTAGAGCCATAGTAAATGTTTAGTGCTGGTGCACAATGTGTCAGGCCTCTCTACTACTGCTCTGTCAAATGAACTTAGTCGTGCCTGTCTCCATCTTCACATCATAAATGATGTCAGTAAGTCATGTCATATGAAATGGGTGAGGGCAGGTGAGGCAACAGGAGAGGGGGGGTGGTCCAGGGGAGAAGGGCACGCTCCCCTGACCTATCTTGTCTGCGGCCTCTCTCACAACAAAATTAAGTTGTGATGCTGCACTTGAGATAGCACTTCCTTTTCTGATATGTCAAGTATTATGTATTATGATTGACAGGGAATGATTCATGAGATGTCAGGATTAAAACCTTTTACAGCTGAATACATGGATGCTCTGTTTCCCACAATGCTTTTCCTTTTCTGTAATGTAATGTAATGTATGTCTTTTGGAACAGTCTCAGGGGAGGACAGTGGGGGATTTCCAAGCTTCTAGGCCAATGGGCATCATCTCCCTGACTATGCGATGATGTCTCGGAATGTGTAAAGCAAACTGTTGAACAGGAAGTGACATGGTTACATAATGCAGAGCAGGCTTCTGGGTAATGTAGGCTAGCCCTCTGCTTCATCAGGGTGACCCTTGGATAACAAGGGACTAAAATAAGTATGGGTAGTGGGGAGTCTCTCAGTCTGAAGTGATGGGTAGGTGTGTACGTGTGTGTGTGTGTAAGAGTGTGCATGAGGGTGACTGTTGTCTGTGCACATGAAGAGGAGCTGTGCACCCCCAGTCACGACGCAGCTCCCAGTTTGTGTGAGACAGACAGAGGTGGGAGGGGAGTTGGTGTGGAGAATGTGAATGTTTGTCTGCATCATACGCTAACTGTGTTTGTGAAGAGGAGAGGGGTCGGGTGCTGCTGACTCACTGTCCAGGTCGTGATACAGCAGACTGCAGTCTTAGTCATTAAACAGCTCCGCTCCAACATAAGAGAGCATCTGACAGAGAACAGGTAAATCTAGACAACAGGAACAACAGAGTTGTCCCATTTATTTTATACTATATATTATCAAGTCAAGTTCTAACCTTAAAACAAGACTTAGCTGAACTTTCTAAAGCTGCTTTTTACTATTTTGTATGGAATTATTATTGATCACTCAGGGTAATATATAAGGCTTTATTTACCAACATTAACTGGCGACAATACTTCTGAAATTCAAACAACATGCTAGGGTAACACAATTTGTCCTTTGCATTTATTTGACCCATTCTTCAAAGCTGCTGCGTAGCAACCTGCAAGGAACACTGTATAGCCACAGTGCAGTGTCCAGTGTCTGCAGATATGGAGCTATTTTAATAATCAGTTCCTAGTTGGAGGGTAAGCCTCTCATGCATGTTTTAGGTTTATGGGGCAAACTGTAGTACCATGCACAGACCAGGCCCAGAAATGTTCAGGGAATCAAACTGGGGAATCCCTTGCTGTAAGCCAGAAGTGCTAAGCACGCCACCATTGGAGGTGGTTGGTTTACTTTCATCTCCCATTGGATCCTTTTCACTGTTGGCTCATATCACTATGGAGGTCACATGAGGTCGTGTCCATAATCAGCTTTGGCTTAGCAGTTGTAGTAGTAGTATTTTCATCTATGTTTAATTACAGATAAATCCATGTACCATAGACTGATGTAGGATAGCATCATTCACTTTAAAGAGATGAATTAAACAAGAATTTTCTTGCATACAGCTGTGAAGCACATGGTCTATGTGTGGTGCTCACATTGACTTTGTAATTAGATATTCTCTGGACATACGCATCTTTAATTGCTGCTGTATCATCCTAATGGATGAGCTGGTTATTGACTTTATCGTAAACTTTATGCCTAAGCCAGTGCTTTATGCATTAAATTTCACACATTTTTAACTGACAGTGAGAGGTTTTCTTGAGGGCAAACTGTTGCTTCTCACATCAGTGCAGTTTACTGTCTTTTTGCTACTGAACAAAAGAAGATATTGAAAGAAAGTTGTTCTGATAGCCATTTAGCCACGGCTGTTGTTTGACAAGGCAAAGAACTATTAGAATAACTTGTCAAACAAAGCAGAATAGACACACACTCTGTATTTTTTATACAGAGGTATATTAATTTGTCCACACTCCCTCCATTGCACTTCGAGACACAACCAAACATGCTTGTGTAATCAGACTACTTTATTTCAGTGACAAAGACAAACAAAAAGCTCATTGGTCACCCATCATTTACAAACAAAATCACATTTCTCTCACCTCAGATTAACAGAGTTTAGTGCTTCACTCAGTGATTCTGCAGAAATCCACAGTGTTTTTTTATTATGTCAGTCACACCCATCAGAACTGAGGGAGAATGACCAGTGAACAGACTCACATCTTCGTAAAATATTAAAGAAGTGTGTATTCTGAATCCCAGGCAACTTTCATTAAAAAGTACACCTGTAACATTCTCAAAGGGTTTGCAGTTTTTTCTCTTCAATTCCTAATCTCTCAGGTACTCCTCCTTAACTAGACCTACACTAAAGAGCTCATCCTGTCTTCATACTGATAAAAACAAGAGTAACATGAAAGTCCTGCAAAAGAAGTCTGAACCATAAAATGTACCTGCAAAAAGCGACACAAGGAGCACAATATAGTGAACACGTACAGACTCAGTAACAGCACTGCTTTAGAGAACAGTGTGTCCTCGGTTGACTCTATCTCTTGCTGCTCTGTACCATAAAGCACTTTCCGTCCCTTATTAAGTGGAAATTCAATCTGCTACTAATGTTCGCCGCCATCTTTGAAAGGGGTCTTTATTAAACAGCGGTCTGTGTGTTCCTTGATTCTCAGAGATAAATGGTACATCCATCAAAATCCTAACAAGTCTGTGTGTTTTACCACCTATAATAAAAGTGAATTTTGATCTCAGGGCAGGAGGTGGAGGGGGGTCAGGTGGAGCAAAGAGGTTGTGGTGGAGAATATAGTTACCTGGTTCTACACAGCAACAGCGGCACAAGATGCAATACAGTTACCTGACCAGCCAGAACCTCACACTTTGACAAAACTTTACAAAGACAAGTGGATCTGGAGCCTTATCCTGTTTCCCAGTTTCAGAGGATGTGATTGACAGGTGGATTAACCAATCTGAAAGATGCATGGCCCATTTGTGTCAAAAACAAACATGGCTGCTTACACTACAAATACTGAGAAGCATCAATCAATGCACCAAACTATTATTTATCTCAAGTAAAATGAGTCATATTCTGAATGTTATGAGGATTTTTGACAGATGTCTTCCGCATTTGAGAGACGTGCTACAAATTAGCTGTAGTGGTTGGACTGTCTTAAGTTTGGATGCAGGATTTTCACCCTTTATTGTCCAGTTCCAGCCCCTTCTGGATTTGAGCAGAATATAGAAGACTGGTCAGGCAAACAATACAGGACACACAGTTTATTTGACAGAATTTCCAGTTTCCTGACTCATTTCTAGCATCCTAATTATTCACCACAATGAGACCATTTCAGAAATCAGAGCAGTTTTGTTGTCACTATAATGCCAACAAACATTAACATGCTAATGGTGCACTTCCTGATTCTCGGACTATAAAACTCTTTACAATTAAATGCAGACAGCACACAGCAGTATCATTTCTACTCTAAGAACTGCATTTACAATATAGCTGTACTGGAGCAAAACAAATGTTGCTCAGACACATGGACAGAAATACTTGTAACAGCCACTTTCAGTGCAGCTGTTTTTGTTGTATTGTTGTTTCGGTTTCTTATCCAGCATTATTTATTATATTTATTCAGCATTAACTTATATTTTCAAACAGGTTTATTGTATTGTTTACCATATTTGATGGAGAAAGTTATAGGAATGAAAAAAAAAAAAAATATCAGAAGGTTAGCCCCAAGATCCTAAGCAAATTCAGGTTGAACTTGGGAGTCAGAGGTAGGCAGATTATCGAAGTATCAATAATACAGTTAATCTTGTTTTCTAGATATACTTCTTACATATAGAGCATTTGGTTTATTTTGTCACTCCAAATGATATGACAAAAAGGACATGTTTTTAACCATAAGTCATGTTTTTGATCAAAAGTCATAGATTTCATAGATTTCTCCATATGTAATATAAACCTCTATAATGTATCTAATAAATAGCAAATTATTTGGACTATTCAGAGATCTAATGGAAAACTCAACATAAAACATATTGTGGACCCTTGCATCCCCTGACAGCTCTTGTCATTTTTAAAATTCAATGTTTTTCATTAAAATAACTCACTGTATCCTTCCAAGTTTCAATAAAAATATTTTAGTTGAATACAATAAACTAATATGATCGATCACAGCATCTATTTTAACAATGATTCACATAATCGACACTGAATATTGGAGATAATGTCACTGAACCTATAGCACATTTCTGTTAGATTGTCATAATATCATGTCAGTATCATTCATAATATATAGATTTTTTTCCATATTGCCCACACCTATGTTTGATGTTGGCATACCTCCAGTGAATTTAACAATTCACATTTTTATTGGTGCCTTATGAATGAGTATTTCTTTAATTCAGTCTGAGTTGGGTGTTGAAACTCTTCTCATATCAGATCCTCCACATCTGTGCTGAATGCGCCTCCACTGTTCCACACTCAGGCTTCTTGTTGGGCCTCACTGCTTGTTTGCATTGCTTGTATCCACACATCCCACCAGAGTGTGTGCCAGTTGCGGGCACACACTTTGTGGGTTCATTAGGTGCAGTGCAGTGCAGCGGCCAT